GCCCTAGAGGTGACGTGCTGAGCGGCAGCGTTTTTCGGCGAACGCCTCAATGCAACGTATTCAGTGGATCCACTGATTGCATAACTGCCACATATTGCATTGTGTTACATTATTATGTCTTCCCCCTACCCCCCCGTCGGAGCCGCGCCGCAGGAACGGACCAAAATGATCGGCCTTCCTTCTGGGACCCCAAACCTACAAAAACATATGACAAACAAATATGCCTCTTGGGCCTCTGGGGACTCCAAGAGGGCCTCAAGATGGCCCAAGATGGTCCCAAGACAACCCAAGACGGCCCCAAGACGGCCCAAGATATCCCCAACGAGGGCCCATGAGGCCCCCAAGACGGCCCCAAAAACCCCAAGGACGGCCCAAGAGGGCCCCGCGCCCACAACTGCGCCTCCAGAGGCCGAAATCATTGATTTCCCGGTGGTTTTTGCAATCGTTTAGCGTTCTCGCCTTTTCCGACTTTCAAAAATCCATGACGGCCCAAGCAGTTTCCGGACTCGCCCCCGAACAACCAAAATTACCCTGCGACGTACCCAACCCACGCGCATCAAATGGCAAGAGGAGTATGCCAACATTAGCAGGAACAACGACAGTGTAGACGCGGCGATTTGCTGTGCAAGCTACATGGGATGCGCATGCGTTGCACGATTCACAGGACGACGATCGAAAGAGCGAGGCTTGAGGCCCCAGGATCGAAGAAGAACGGGCACGGGAACGAGGGGCAGGAGAGGGATGGAATGGAGGGCGGGGGGGGGGGGCGGAAGGCCATCGCGGAAGCAGCAGCATGCATGGAGAAGGTGAGGCGGGGAATAGGACGACGATGAAAGTGGCGGGAGGAGACAGAAGACTGCCGCGTTTTTCAAGTGCGAGCTAAACCCGCAGCGCTGCCTGCGCCATGTCGTCGCAGAGTTCCACATGATAAAACTTGTTTAGAGTGCAAGGAACGAGCGAGGCGTAGCTCGCCCGCTAGCTTCTCCGCCTCCTTCCCGCGCATTTCAGCGCGGGAGCTGAACGCTCGCAGGCGCGCCGCCAGGTCTGCGGGCGGCCCGCGGGAAAGAAACTCAAGGCCGGGGTCGCGCATCATCAATCGGTTGTCCATCGTCCAAAGTTGCACTGGCGACGTACTGGTTGAACGCGGAGCGAGCAGCATCACGCGCGTGCCTGAACGCCACGCAGGTACAGTGCACGCGCTTCAGGTCGATCACGCGCGTCTCCACCAGGCTTGGCAACACCACGCGACTGAGGATCTCACTGCGGTCTGCCATGCTGCTGTCCGCGAATGCAATGCGCTGCCTGCAAGTAAGGCGGCGGCGTCCACTTGTCTCAGAAGATGTTCCCGCGGGCCCGAAGGGCGACCGCCAGCTCGAGCCGCGGCGCCGGCAGGCCAGATAAGGATCATGCAACAGCAAAGACGATGACAGAGCAACGAGGTATCGGCGAGTGCATGACCGGCCTCCGTTTCCTGCACTTCTTTCCTGTAGTTCCCCTAGCTCATCGAGCTCAGCAGATGTTTCTGCGGGTCCGAAGGACGACCGCCAGCTCGAGTCGCAGCGCCGACGAGCTGCATCCACATCAGGCAACACCCCAGGAGACACTGGCACACAACGATTTGACGTCAGTCAGTGCCAGACCACTCCATGTCTAGTTCCTCGCACACATACAGTCGATCGCAGATGCGGGATAATCGAAGTAGAATGACGGGTCCAATCTGCGTCCGCGTAGGACGTCACTATGCTGGACCCCGCAGCAGGTCTCGAAAGTGGCGGCAGTTTCATGGGCCCCACAGCAGCCCTCGAAAGTGGCGACAGTTTCGCAGATCGTAGCCCCCCAGCGCTGGCGAGGTCTAATCTGAGTCCCCGTAGGACGTCGCTCCGCTGGCCCCCCAGCAGCCTTCGAAAGTGGCGACAGTTTCACAGATCGCAGCCCCCCAGGGATGGCGAGGTCTAATCTGATCCCCGTAGGGCGTCACTCCGCTGGGCCCCCCACGCAGCCTTCGAAAGTGGCGACAGTTTCACAGATCGCAGCCCCCCAGGGATGGCGAGGTCTAATCTGAATCCCCGTAGGGCGTCACTCCGCTGGGCCCCCCAGCAGCCCTCGAAAGTGGTGCAGTTTCACAGATCGCAGCCCCCCAGGAATGGCGAGGTCTAATCTGAATCCCCGTAGGGCGTCACTCCGCTGGGCCCCCCAGCAGCCCTCGAAAGTGGCGACAGTTTCACAGATCGCAGCCCCCCAGGGATGGCGAGGTCTAATCTGAGTCCCCGTAGGGCGTCACTCCGCTGGGCCCCCCAGCAGCCCTCGAAAGTGGCGACAGTTTCACAGATCGCAGCCCCCCAGGGATGGCGAGGTCGAATCTGAATCCCCGTAGGGCGTCACTCCGCTGGGCCCCCCAGCAGCCTCGAAAGTGGCGACAGTTTCACAGATCGCAGCCCCCCAGGGATGACGTAAAAGGATACGAAACCGTTTCCCCAGGAAACGTTTCCCCGGAACCGTTTCCCCGGGACCGTTTCCCCGGAGGACCGTTTCTCCGGAGACCTCTTCCCCGGGGACCGCTTCCCCGGAGCAGCGTTTCCCCGGGACCGTTTCCCCGGTCCCGTTTCCCCGGGAACGCTTGCCCGGAACCGTTTCCCCGGAGCCGTTTCCCCGGAGTCGGTTCCCCAGAACCGTTTCCCCGCAGCAGGTTCCCTTAAACCGTGTCCCTGGTGCGCCGTTTCCCCGGGGTTAACCGCTTCCCCGGAACCGTTTCCCCGGATCCGTCTCTGCCACGACGACGACAACAACGATGGCGGCGACGACGGCGACGACGACGAAGACACCGACGACGAGGACGACGACGACGACGACCATGACGACGAGGACGACAGAGACGACGACGACGACGACGACGACGACGACGACGACGACGACGACGAGGACGAAGACGAGGACGAGGACGAGGACGAGGACGAGGACGAGGACGAGGACGAGGACGAGGACGAGGACGACGACGAAGACGACGACGGTGCCGACGCCGACAAGGACGACGACGACGAAAACGACGACGACGGTGTTTTTTCTCCTGCTCATCCTCCCCGTCCCCTTCCCGTGGGCGGCCCTCGCGCTCCTCCTGCTCCTGGTCCCGCTCCTCCCCGCTCCTCCTCCTCCTCCTCCTCCTCCTCCTCCTCTTCCTCTTCCTCCTCCTCCTCCTCCTCCTCCTCCTCCTCCTCCTCTCCTCCTCCTCCCTTCCCCTCCTCCCTCCTCCTCCTCCTCCTCCTCAGCTCCTCCTCCTCCTCCTCCTCCTCTTCCCTCCTCCCCCTCCTCCCCCCTCCTCCTCCTCCTCCTCCTCCTCCGCCTCCTCCTCCTCCTCCTCCTCCTCCTCCTCCTCCTCTTCCTCCTCCTGCGGACCTCCAGCAAAACAAGCCAGCCCACAACAGTCACCGAACGCCTTGGGTGACTATTTTGGCGCGGGCGTTTTTCCAGGCGACGGCCTCCCCCTCCTCCTCTACCTGCTCCTGCTCCTGCTCCTGCTCCTCCTCCTCCTCCTCCTTCCTCCTCCCTCCTACCTCCTCCCCTCCCTCCTCCTCCTCCCCTCCTCCTCCCTCCTCCCTCCCTCCCTCCCTCCCTCCCTCCCTCCCTCCCTCCCTCCCTCCCACCCTCCCTCCCTCCCTCCCTCCCACCCCAGTCACTCGTCCCTCCCTCCTCCACCCTCCCTCCCTCCCTCTCCTCCCGTCCCGTCCCTCCCTCCCTCCCACCCTCCCTCCCTCCCTCCCTCCCCCTCCCTCCTCACCTCCCTCCCTCCTCCCTCCCCTCCCTCCCTCCCCTCCTCCTCCCCCTCCTCCTCCTCCTCCCCTCCTCCTCCTCCTCCTCCTCCTCCTCCCTCCTTCCTCACCTCCTCCTACCTCCTCCTCCCCCTCCTCCCACCTCCTCCTCCTCCCTCCTCCTCCTCCTTCCTCCTCACTCCCCCTCCTCCCCTCCTCCTCCTACCTCCCTCCTCCTCCTCCTCCTCCTCCACCTCCTCCTCCTTCCTCCTCCCTCCCCCGCCCCACACCCCCTCCATCCTCCTCCTCCCCTCCTCCTCCTCCTCCTCCTCCTCCTATCCTCCTCCTCTTCTCCCCCTCCCCCTCTTCTCCTCCTCACTCCTCCTCCCCGTTCCCTCCTCCTCCTCCTCCTCCTCCCTCCTCCTCACTCCTCCCTCCTCACTTCCTCTTCCTCCTCCTCCTCCTCCCTACCTCCTCGTCCTCGTCCTCCTCCTAAATACTCCTCCTCCTCCTCCCCCTCCTCACTCCACTCCCTCCCTCCTCCCCCTCATCCTCCTCCCAATCCACCTCCGGACGACGACGACGACGACGACGACGACGACGACGACGACGACGACGACGACGACGACGACGACGACGACGACGACGACGGTGATGTTTCTCCTCCTCATCCTCCCCGTTCGCTTCCCGTGGGCGGCCCTCGCGCTCCTCTCGCCACTGCTCCTGCTCCTCCTGTTCCTCCTCGTCCTCGTCCTCCTCGCGCGGACCTCCAACAAAGCAAGCCCGCCCAAAACAATCACCCAACGCCTTGGGTGACTGTTTTGGCGCGGGCGTTTTTCTAGGCGACGGCCTCCTCTTCCTCATCCTCCTCCTCTACCTGCTCCTTCTCCTTCTCCTCTGGACCACGACGACGACGACGTCGGCGGCGGCGGCAGCGGCGGCGGCGGCCTCCTGCTGCTGCTGCTCCTGCTGCTCCTCCTCCTCCTCTATCTCCCCCCCTGTCTTCCTCCGCCTCCCCCAGCTGGGTGGGCAGCCCGCTTCGCGGACACACGCGATCTCGAATGGTGTGAGCTCTCGGCTAAGCCCAGGGCCCCGGTTGGACAGATTTTGCTGCTTTGAAAGCGGCGCTCCCAGTATGCGATCAGTAAGCCTAATGGTCTCGGAGCGCCGTGTCCAGCCCACAGCAAACCCGATTGGAAGATGAATGAGGCTGCGCCGTGGCGGCTGAGGGACTCGTCACGCGCGGCCGCGCGCGCGTCACTCCTCGCTCATGGCCAGGTGCGCCAGCTGCGTCACGAGGGAGACCCCGCCCTTGCCCCCCAAGTACTCGTTCACCAAATTGCACTGCTTGTCTCCACGAACCCGCGTGGGCTCGCGCAGCTTCTTCTCGCCCCCCATGGCGATCTCAGTGATGTCCCGGCTGGTGATTCTCTGCTGCTTGTGCAAACTCAGGATGAAGGTCGGGTATGTGGGATGGGCGCCCCTGTGGAACTGAGCCGCATGGTGGCGGTGGAAGAGTTCGGCTGCGCTCGCGGCGAGGAACTTCTTGTCGAGCGTGCGATGGTGAATGTTCCAAATGTCCACGGGGAACACGGGGGCCTTCCGCGCCCTGGCTCTGGCCGGCCCCTCGCCCACCCACGTTTTCTCGAAGTATAACACGAGCTCGAGCTCCTCGTTAGGGAATTCGGCGGCCAGGGTCTCGAACCAGTCCGCCACGGGGTCGGCGGGGAGGAACGCGAGGGCGCATAGCTCCCCGACGCGCAGGCGAAACTCAGCGTTCCCGCCGTACCTGTTGCTCAAGCCCAGGTCGACCGCGCGCTCGTGCACGGCGGCGCGGAAGTGGAAGTAGCACCCGCCGACGTTGATCTCGTGGAACACGGCCGAGGCCGCCTGGTAGGAAGCCTTCTCGTAATCGAGCAGAAGGGTCGGCCCGGGGCCCTCGGGGGAGAGCAGTTGGAGCACGGCCCCCCATGCGCGCTTGTACGTTGCCATTTTCTTGTCCGCCAGCAATCTGTAACAACAAGGCGCGACGTATCCGTTCTGGTATCCGTGCACCGTGTGCGCCTGGAAGAAGGGGGCAGGCGCTATGCGGAACGCGCCGTCTGCCAGCCAGACGTCCGCCGTGGCCAGGAAGTCGAAGTTCTTCGCGCAGCCCCGCACCTGGATGCACTTGTCGCCCGCTGCAGCCCCACTGCGCCAGGAACTCCTCGCCGTCCACCTGCTTGAGAGTCTCAGGGACGGTGAGCACCTCCAGCGTGGAGCACGCCTGCCCCCCGCTCTTCAGGCGCTCGTTCTGTTCTGACAACCGCGTCCTCCAGCAAGCCCGCTTCAGGTTGGTCGTGGCGGGCATCGCGGCCAACGATGCCTGCGAGGCCCCCGCGAGCGCGGCCGAGGCCATGTTCGCGGCAGTGGCGTCGGGCTGTTGCGACGCAGCGGCCCTTGCCTTGGCACGGACTTGCTCCACGACGGCCTTGTCCGGAGTGGGCAGGTGCGCATGCAGCGTCACCTGCTGGACGACGGTCCGGGGCCCCTTCATGCGGGTCTGCGCTTGGCCGCCGCACACCTGAGCACCTTTCTCGCAGCTCCAGGTGCGGTTGCCATTCTTTGCGGTGTAGCAGAGGTTGTAGATGAAGCCGTCATGGATGAGTTTCCGACCGTTGCGCTTCGATAAAACAAATTGACAGGCGGACTCGGCGGGGCCCGGCGGCGCGGGCGCAGGCGGCGCGGGCGCGGGCGCCGGGGGCGCCGCCGCGGCCGCGGCACGCCCGCGAGCCTGGGGTTGAGCCGCCTGCGCAGCCATGACAAGCCCGCGTCGCGGACAGAAGGTCTGCAGGGAGATGGGCCAGCCTCGTGTGCCGCGCGAATCGATCAGGAATGGCTGCGGCAATGGTGGCCAGAGGGGTTCGGGCGCTGGTGAAAGGAAGCGGCACGGGGAGCCTGGGCTGGCTTGCGCACGCCACGGACGACGGAGAGGTGTACGATAACGACGGCAAGAAGGACGACGACGACGCAGTACAGCCAGATGGCCCAGAACCACCGCCCATCTGGCTCGCACCACCGCAGTACAGCCAGAGGGCAACGCCAGCGGCGGCAAGCACGTACGGCCACATCGCCTCGCAGGCAGCCCAGCGCGCGAGGTCGGCGGCTGGAAAGCGAAAATGCGACGATGAGCCGCCCGGGCGAAGGAAGCGAGAGGCCGCCGCCACGATACCAGCAACACCGCCACTGCCGCGACGGCGGCCAACCGCACCTCCACCACGACGGCGACCAGCAGCAGCACGACCCACACAGCTAGGGCGACTGGCGGCAACAGCAGCAGCGATTCCTGCTCAAAATGGGCTGGCACTGCAGTCGGTGTTCGTCTCCATTCTTTCGAGGCCCCCGAAAATATGGTCTGAGCTTCTTTCGAGGCCTCCCAAATGGGGTCCGAGCACATGGGGCCGGAAGAGAAGCGTCTAAGAAGCCCTCAAAGGCCCGTAAGAGGCCCCAACAGGCCCCCAAGCACCAAGAGGCCTCCTGGAGGCCACCGAGACGCTCCCGGGAGACTCCGAGAGTCCCCCTCTTCGTCTCTACGTGCGGACCCTAACGGGCGGGACGGGTCGGGTCGGGTCGGGCGGACCCTAACGGGCGGGACGGGTCGGGTCGGGCGTGCGGGACATTAAAGAGAATGATGCACCATCGAGTTGGCACGCGGGTGCCCTAACGGGCGGGACGGGTCGGGCGGGCGGACCCTAACGGGCGGGACGGGTCGGGTCGGGCGGGCGGACCCTAACGGGCGGGTCGGTTCGGGTCGGGCGAGCGGGACATTAAAGAATGATGCACCATCGAGTTGGCACGCGAGTACCCTAACGGGCGGGACGGGTCGGGCGCGGACCCTAACGGGCGGGACGGGTCGGGTCGGGCGGGCGGACCCTAACGGGTCGGGACGGGTCGGGTCGGGCAGGCGGGATATAAAAAAAGATGCATCATCAAAATGGCACGCGAATGCGCTAACGGGCGGGACGGGTCCGGCGAGCGGGCGGACCCTAACGGGCGGGTCGGGTCGGGTCGGGCGGGCAGACCCGAACGGGCGGGACGGGTCGTGTCGTGCGGGCGGACCTTAACGGGCGGGACGGGTCGGGTCGGGCGTGCGGGACATTATAGAATGATGCACCATCGAGTTGGCACGCGAGTGCTAACGGGCGGGACGGGTCGGGCGGGCAGACCCTGAACGGGCGGGACGGGTCGGGTCGGGGGGCGGACCCTAACGGGCGGGTCGGGTCGGGTCGGGCGGGCGGGACATTAAAGAATGATGCACCATCGAGTTGGCACGCGAGTACCTGAACGGGCGGGACGGGTCGGGCGGGCGGCGGGCGGGAACGGGCGGGACGGGCGGGTCGGGTCGGGCGGGCGGGGGACATCAAATAATGATGCATCATCGAGTTGGCACCGGAGTACCCTAACGGGCGGGACGGGTCCGGCGGGCGGACCCTAACGGGCGGGTCGGGTCGGGTCGGGCGGACATTAAAGTATGATGCGCCATCGAGTTGGCACGCGAGTACCCTAACGGGCGGGACGGGTCCGGCGGCCCGGCGGACCCTGACGGGCGGGATGGGTCGGGTCGGGCGGGCGGACCCTAACGGGCGGTTCGGGTCGTGTCAGGCGGGCGGGACATTAAAGAATGATGCGCCATCGAGTTGGCACGCGAGTGCCCTAACGGGCGGGACGGGTCGGGCGGGCGGACCCTAACGGGCGGGACGGGTCGGGTCGGGTCGGGTCGGGCAGGACGGGTCGGGTGGGTAGCCGTCGATGATAGATGAGGGAGGAGAGGAGAGGAGGAAGTAGGGAGGGATGAGGGATGTGGACGGGGGTCGTAGCAGCAACGAGGGATGGGGGAGGGAGGGAGGGCAGAGAGGGATGGATGAGGAGGCGGAGGAAGAAGAGGAGGAGGAGCAGCAGCAGCAACAGCAGCAGCAGTGTAATGAGAGAGAGTAGCAGGAAGGAACCGCCTCTATTGAACCCGTCCTGTGGAACCGGTCCTGTGGAACCAGTCCTGTGGAACCGGGCTTGTGGAACCGGTTCTGTGGTACCGGTCCTGCGGAACCGGTCTTGTAGAACCGGTTCTGTGGAACCGGTTCTGCGGAACCGGTCCTGATGAACCGGTCTTTGTTGAACCGGTCCTTGTTGAACCGGTCGTCTGTTGAACCTGTCCCTGTTGAACCGGTCGTCTGTTGAACCGGTCCCTGTTGAACCGGTCGTCTGTTGAACCGGTCTTCTTCCGTCTATAGGTCTGGCATATTTTTTGGGAGCACTCTAGAAGGTCAGGGGAGAGGGGGGTTGTGGACGCGCGTCGGATCGACGCTCGGCGAGCCGACTCGGCTGCGTGACCGGCAGGCGAAGCCGGGAGCCCTTGCGCGCCACCGCTTCTGGCTTCGCCGTCCTCAGGCGAGCACTCGGCCTGCGACCTTCCTCTACGACGTGCGCGGGGAGGAACGAATCCCACCAGCCCTTTGGCCGAAGGTGGTCTGTCGATGTCTTCCTCTCCTTCCAAAAACCTCTACGGGGAGGGGTACCCTCCCCCTCCCCTGCCTGAGGTTTTGCTGGTGGGGTTCGCGAGGGGTTAGGGCGTCCAGGATGGCCCAACATGACTCCAAGAGAACCTCCGATGCTCCCAGATGGCCTCCGCGGCGGCTCAATATAGCCGAAAACGGTTCAAGATAACTTCTGACGATGGCTCCAAGAGGCCCGACGAGGTCCACGAGACGGTTGCAAGTGCTCTCGAAGCCCCCTAAGGTTCTCCTAAGAGGCCAAGATCCTTCAATAACCTAAGGCAAACCAATCAGGTTTGCCTTGTCGCCTTTCCGTTTGCGATGCGCTTTTGAAGCCTCGAGATGGCCCAAGAGAGCCCCAAGAGGGGCCCAAGAGGCCCCCCAAACGGCCTCAAGAGCGCCCAAGATCGGCCAAAGAGCGTCACAAGAGCGCCCCAAGAGGCAAGTTCGATGGCCCCCAGGGGGGGGGAGGCAAATTTTGGAACACCCCCTTGTGATCGATGGCTACAAGATGGCCCCAAGAGGCCCTCCAGGGCTCCCAAGGGACCCACAAGAAGGCTCCAAGAGGGCCCCAAGAGGGCCCCAAGACCCCCCAAAACAGCTCCAAGAGGACGTCAAGATCACCGAAAGAGGCCTAAGAGGGCTCTGTCGTCGTCAAAGTTGTTCCTTTCTTTACCCTGCTCCTCGTCCTCGTCCTCGTGCTCTACCTTGTCCTTTTACTCCTCTTCCTCATCGTCGTGGTCTTCGTCGTCGTCTTCCTCCTCCGTCTTCTCCTCCTCCTCCTCCTCTTCCTCCTCCTCCTCCTCCTCCGCCCTCCCTCGCCCCCACGCGGGCCGCAAGACCGAAGAGGCCTTCAAAGGCCACCCCCGTGCTCCCAGAGATCTCTCAGTTCACCCCGGTTGCCCACTTTGTTTCATTAGATGTGTCTCGTCCCCCATTTTCCTGTCAGCTCTCGTGGGCAGCAGAGTTTCTGAATGGACTGATGGGCATGGGCGAAGCGTGAAGGAGCAGGTGCCACAACCTTGCAAATTCGTGACCGGGCCCACAAATCTGGCCAGAACTTGTGCGGCCCCTCCCCGCCCCCAGCGTTGACTCCGACATCCTGAAAATGCTGGAAAGTGGCCGACGTTTCCGTCTGCGCCCACATGGCTACTTCTGTCCCAACAGCGTGACTGAAATCAAATCTCCTGGTATTGGCCAACTCTCCGCCGTGGTTCACGCACAACCGTGACGCACAAACACGAAATTGTATCTGCCAGCCGCCGGCAAATGAGGTGGCCGACATCGGCGATCGCGGCAGCGCTAAAAACAAGCACCCCTGCATAATGTCCAACCTATCGCGCGGCTTTCTGTGGCAATCGCTTTTCAGAAAGAACTACAGCACGTTTGGCAATTTCGATCCGGGCTGCACTCCTGGAAGGCCATCGACGTCAATGTGAGAAGCCAAGAAGGGTCGCAACGCTTTCTCGTCGTCCTCCTTCTCCTCCTCCTCTGATTCCTCCCCCACTCTCCTTATCCTCCATGTCCTTCCTCCGTGCCATCGAGCTACCACGAGGCAGCCTCCTTTTGGCCATTGAAGCGCCCAGCTGCACGAGGAGCGCCAGAGGAACAAACATGGAAGGACCTACGCCACAGAGAGCCCCTTCCAAGTCTGAACTATACCTGATTCCGTCGTCCTGACTGTACTTCTCTCCCTGCTCACTTTCTTTCTCCCCGCTTGCTCGTGCCTCATGCCCATCCCCTTCTCCTCCAACCCCATCCTCCCCTGCCCATTCATCGTCTCCCCATCGCCCTCTCCTCCCCGTTTCCTGTGACCTCACTCTTCTTACCTCGAAACTCTTGCGAGGCAAACTGGCGTTAGTCTCACCTCTTCCTGCTCTTCATTCCCTTTCTCTTCCTCATCATCCTCATCTTTATCGCCGTCCTCGCCCTCACATAGTTATCACCATGATCGTCCTAGTTGTCGTCGTCCTTCATTTCCGCCGCTGCGTCTTCTTCCTCTCGTCATCCTCCTCTTCGTTCTGCTCTTTCTCTCCTCATGCTCCTTATCCTAGTCCTCCTTCTCCTTCTCCTTCCTAGCTCTCCTATCCGCCCTTGTCCTCACAAGCATTCCTGCCCTATCCTCATAATAATAATCATCTTCATCATAGTCGGATGATATGGATCGTACAATCAGCCCACTGGCAGCCAGCCTGGATACTGATTGTAAGCTGTTCATATCTGCCGATAGCAAGCTACCTTTGTGCTAACCGTACTAGGTCTCGCCTCTGTGATGACTGCGCCATGGAAATTAAGAATCAATTGGGAAACAAGAAGGTGCCGATACCGCTACTCCACGGACCTCTCCCAGGGTGCGATCTGACCAGAATTTCGACGCGAATCCAGCGGTGGCGACGAGGGACCCCCAGGAGGCCCCCCAAAAAGAAAACGAGGAAACTGTAGCCGCAGCGAGCCCTTTTCCTGCTCTGAGACTAGGCGCTGTCCACGTCTAGAGTCTAGAACTCTCTCGGCCTCCATCCTTGCCCCCTCCCGTCGACGCCGTGGGCCTTGAGCCTGTCGAACTCGTTCTTCTGCGGGCCATCCATAAAAGTGATGGCGCCCTCGGCTGCGTAGCCTGTAGACTCGTGCGCGCTATCTCCCCCACCGTGGTCACGATCGCAGAGATCGCGATCGCGAACGCCGCGCGACTGGGATGCGACGGCCATCATGCAAACTGCTGCGGTTCGACTGCCGGGTCAGTTGGGCTTTGCAAAATCCGGCAAAATCCCGTAGGATCCTGCCGTGTCCTGCGCGCAAGCCGGGGTCAATGCGATCCTGGCTCCGCAAGATCCTGTCAGATCTGGCGCTCTGGCTGACCCCTGTTGGCATGACCCCCGTCTCGAGGCTCCCGAGACTGCTTTGAGCTCATCCTGCTGGTCGGGCTGCGCTCGGCATGGCATCTAAGCTGCGGGGCCTGGGCCTGGGCCGCTGTCCGTCCGCCGCCTCTTCCGGTCTGGCTGGTCCCAGTCCCAGCCGCCGCCATCGTCGTGCCAGTCCTGGCCCGAGTCGTCCTGGGATCGGCGGATCGCCAGAGGAACCCGAGGCAAAGAGTGACTTTTGGGTGTGCGGCTTGCCCAACTGCGTCACCTGACGCCTCTCGTCGCAGCTGTCGTCCCAAGGTGGCCCGACGAGCCTGCGCTGAGCCCGGGGCATCCGAGGCACCGCTGTGGGCCTCCTGTGGGCTTCTTGGGGGTGCCTGGGCAGCTCCTGAATCGTTTGGTCGCGGCCTCGACACCGTCTAGAACTCGCCGTGTGCCGGGCCGGGAGGCACTCGGGCGCCCGTCGGGCCCGCCCCGAGACCACGTTGGGCCCTCTTGCTGCCCCGAGCGGGGCCTCGTGGGGGGTGGCGCCAGGTCGCGCGGGAGCACCCCCGGGGGCAGCCTGGGCATGCCGTGGAAGCCCCCCGGGGGGCGGGCGGGGCGCGCTGCGGCGACGGCCCCAGGCCCAGATCGGGGACGGCGGAAACCCGAATCGGGACGGGAGCCAGAGCCGCAGTGCCGTGGGCCTTCTGGCACCGAAGGGGATCCTCCCCGCGTCTTCCGCTGGGCTTCCGCCGTCTTCCTTCCCAGAGGTATCCTACGCCTGTAGACTTTTTCCATACGGGATCCCTGGGAGTCCCCACCCGTTCCCCACGGCTTGCGGCTCTCCCTGGATCGCTTTTTTGGCGGTCTCGGGGAACAGCCTGAGCGGATCTTTGGCGTGGGTTCACACTTGGAACATCTCGAGGCCACGCTCCAGGCTATACACATGCTCTCGCCCAGGCCAGCCGGGCCATGTGTATCCCAACCTCCTGGCACGAATCACTCCACGCGCGAGGGACCCCTGCAGGGCGGCGGCTCTGGCAGGTGGTCCTCCCCGCGAGGCTCTGCGAGGACGACCTTCAGGGGCTCCTCGTCCCTGCTGCCCGGATACCTCTGTCGGTCCATGTTCTCGATGGCGTCCAGAGCCTCTCGGAGAGGGCTGAAGGCGCTGCCGAGCACGCGCGGAACCAAACCAACGGCATGAGAGTGCCTGGACCTCTGGGCCTCATCACGAGAGCTCCGTTGACCACCCAAGACCCGCCTGAGCGTAGACACTTTCGGAGGTCCACGCGGAGCTTCTGGGCCATCTGGCGCGCGGAGCGCGCCAGGGGTGGCGCCTGAGACGCAGACAGCGGGGCCCAGTGCCGATGTCCGAGAAATCGCGGCGGGCCTCCGAAAGCTCATGTTTGTGAAGACTGTTGTGCTTCGATGTGATAGAGCGACGCCAGCAGAGTCAGAAAGCACGGGCTCCAGCACTGCTGGCTTCTCTGAGCGGCTCCAGTCGAGGAACGAGCCCGGGAGCAGCGCCCCGCCGCTGCCAGAACAGCACCGCAGTGCGAACCAGTGTCGGACTCCAAGGTCCGCCCGAGACGACGGATGGTGTCCCCCTAGACACAGGGGTCAGCCTCAGCAACACGATCTACGCCTTCACCTCCTCCGGTCTGGCGGCTGTGTTGCCGCCGTCGCCGCCCCGTCGCGGCCTCGTCGCCGCCCGTTGTCTGGGGTTGTCTGTCGGTCGCCGTGCTTGTTGTCGCCGTCGCCGCTTCGTCGACGCCTCGTCGCCGCCCGTCCTCTGGGCTTGTCTGTCAGTCGCCGCGCTTGTTGCCGCCGTCGCCGCCCCACATAGATTGCACAAGATAAAATATTTCACCACATGGACTGCACCACATAGATTGCGCACTTTATAAATCGCGCCACACAGTTTGCACCACACATATATTACACCACGTCGATTGCGCTGCACCAATGCCAACCATGTATTGCACAACGTAGATGGCGCAACATGTATGGCACGACATAGAGTGAACCACGCAGATCGCGCGCATCATACCTTGTACTTCGTGATTCACACCACAACTGTTGCACAATTTATAGCACGCGCAAGCTGGAGTGCATCACGCAGATTGCTCAACGTACCTTGCACAACATGTATTGCAACACGTTCGAGGCTTCACTCTGGATGCCTCACACGAATCGAAAAACAAAGAACGCACGACATATATTGCACACCGTATATTTTCCGATTCCCCTCCGGAGTTAACGATGCCCCTCGCGATCTGTAGTTTACATATGATTCAGCCCCATCATCCATCCTGAATATGAACTCGTACCATCCCAGCCGACTGTTCTGGATTCCCCCATCCTCTGGAAGAATTCCCATACGCGCGTTCTCGTTGATCAACAATCATCAGCGTTCGACAATCCCGTGCAACAAATAAAACGAAATCGACACGCGCGCGTCGTCGCGCGCGCATGCCGGCATCCCTCCAAAACCATCGGTTTCGCACGGACTTGACAATCTAGTCTGCGGGAAACGCATGAAACGCACATGGTTTTGCAAGCGGAGTCTTCAAAACAAAAACTTCCTTCGCGTTCTTGCGAGCTCTTATGACAACCACATGGCTGTTTCAACGTGTCCCCAACATGTTTCCAAATTCGCCCGTCGCGCGCGTGTCGTAATCGTTCGAGCGCTCTTGCGCGCGTGTTGTCGCAAGAAACACTTATGCCGGAGTCCCTGAAACAAACTCTCGGTTTCGCACGGGTTTCAAAATCGAGTGCCTCTAGAAACACACGGTTTTGAAACATGTATGTTCAAAGTACCCTGCGATCGCGTTCGTACGGATTCTTAAGAAAACCCTCGTTTGTCGAACATGTTCATCAAATTCGGCCAAGCGGGTTTCTCGCGCCGCATGTCAATATCATTCGAACGCTATTGCGCGCGTGGTGGGGGGGGGCACGATCCGTGTCACATTAAACCACGCGGGCTATCCGCGCGCGTCGGCCGCGCGCGCATGTCGAACTCCTTCCAAAACCTTCATCGCCCACGCGAGGACAGCGTCGTCGTCACCGGCGGGTCGGGGCCGTCATTTGCCGTATCGTCGTCATTGCCACCTTCGCTACCACCACCGCTACTTTTATAATCGTGTCTACCCTTGTCGTCGTCGCCATTATACCGTGCCCACCCCAATCATCGACACGCACTGCAGTGCCGGCTGGGAATTCCCCAGCGGTCAGCGCCACCACACCGCGACCGCGTTGGTCGCGCCGAACTAGCTGGCCGCTGTGCGCGCGAGCATGCGCGGGCTAGCGCGGCCGCAGAGATGTACCAGCCAACGCCAAGCACTCATCGCAATCACCGCCACACGGGATTTGCAAACCAAGAAGCGGGTGGGTGGGCGGGATGTTTGCAAGCCAGAACAGGCCTGGGCCAACCGCGTCCACCACACTGGTTCCTCAATCGTCGAATCGCCGACATGCGGGACCTACACATTCGATGTCTTGATTTTCACGACGGGGCCGCCGGAAAGTCCCGACCCTTTCCCCACCAGGGCCGGCTTCTCGTCCATGGTCGTTATTTGAAGGCCCCGGGGCTCGGCGAGGGCGAAGAGCCTCCGTCTTGATTTCTTCCATGCGTCCGAGGTGCGAGCATCCTCGATCCTCGAATCCGCGAAGCGCTGGAGGTCTAGGTCGCTGCATGCCGCCAGCGCTCGCTGCGGCCGCCACCGCCGCCGCCCGTGGCGCCGATGGGCGCCGACGTCGGCGCGCCTTCCTCTGGGAGGAAGAGCGCCACGGGCGGCTCTGGCGCCCGCCACGCCCGCTGCGGGCGCCCGCTCCCGATCACACAGGAGACGGCAGGCTCGTGCTGCGCCAGCGTGCGCGCAGGGTTCCGACACGCCCGGGGGTTGGGAGGTCCGCGCGGCGCTCTCTCTCGGAGCGGCGCTGGGCCCGCCTCTGCCAGGTGGGGGGCCAGCGCCGATCCGTGTGGCCGGAGTGATATGGGCCTGTTTTCCACCACCACCACCAATAAGTTGGAGGGGGGGAGGAGGTGGAGGACGAGGAGGAGGAGGAGGACGAAGAGGTGAAGGAGGAGGAGGAGGAGGAGGAGGAGGAGGAGGAGGAGGGTCCCCTCCCCCTCCAGCTTATGGTGGTGGTGGTGGTGGAAAACAGGCCCATCACAGAGAGCTGAGCAGCGGGAGCCTCACCTGGGCGACCCTACCGGAGCCCCGATCGGCCAGCGCCTGCCTCCCCCCAAAAGAAGGACGCCGTCGTCCTCAGAAACTCCGCGCGCCGCCCCGCAGGGCCCAGGCAGGGTGCGCTGCCTCGCGAAGGGGGGGGGACACGCTCGCCCTTGGAAAAAGCTCGGGGATCGAGGTTCAGGCTGGAGGTTTCGGGGCGTTGGGCCTCCTGGGGCGCGCTCGTAGCCACGGCTGCTATTCCCACCCAAGCTCTGGCCAGAACTCTTCCCAGGACAGGTCCGGGGGTCGAATCTCGAATCCCGAACCCGCACGGCACGTTCTATCGCGATGGCGTCGGCGTTGGTCTCGGACACGGAGTGGGTCGCTCGACCTTGGACGGCGAGTTTCTCCGATACCGCAACTCGTTCGATGTCGCCGCGGCCGATTCCAGGCACCTGGCGGCAATGAACCTCGAACGCCCGCGAGGGGTCGCCGCCGCGTCAACGCTGCGCGATCTTCCCGCACAGTGCAGCCACAAGTCGTGCAAGCACACCAAGCCGAACGAAAAGAGGAAGCGAGAGAGAAAGACAGAGAGAGAGTGAGAGATAGGAGGAGGAGAAAAGAGACAGAGAGATATAGAAATAGAGAGAGAGAGATAGACAGATACAGAGACAGCGATAGACAATAACACAAGAAATAAAGAGAGACACAGAGAGGTATCACGAGAAAGAGAGAGAGAGAGAGAGAGCCAGAGAGAGGGAGGACACACACATATCACATATATATGTACATCGAGGAAAAAGGAAGCAATACAGAGAAAGAGAGAGAGAGAGAGACAGAGACAGAGAGAGATAACCAAACAAAGAGACATGGAGAGAGGGAGGGAGAGTAAGCGCCTGCCGCTGATGCCGCTGCTGCTCGGGCCTGCTACGGCCGCTGCCTCTCGCCGTGCTCCTGGCCCTCCTCGCCCCTCTGCTCTCCGTCCTCCCCTGCTCAGCTTCCAGCTCCTCCTCCTCCCCCAAGACTTCCGCCCCACCCTACCAGGGGATGTGTCGACCCCTAGCCAAGGCTTCGTGTGGTTTTCGACTGGACCCGAAATCTGGTACCCAACCCTGGTATACACGAAAGGATTGCGCCCATCCTCGATGAGGGGTGCGTCCGCGTAGCCCCCGTGGGGTGTATCTCAAGGCTCCCACCTTTTTTTGAGCGGCCACAATTTTCCGGCGGAGCTCGGGGATTGGGTGAGCAAAATCTCCTGCGACCCACCCCCCCTTCCTCCCCCCACTGGGACAAAGAGCTCTTACACACCACTTTTACTTCCTAAGGCGCCTGTCGACTGACGATTTCAATGCTGCTTTTCAGTGCTGTCCCCCTCTCCCTTTGCTCTTACCTGGGAAACAGCATGTCATGTAAGGTGGGGGAGGGGGGGGGGCGAGCTCGCCGCCAACGTACCTCCGGGGCCCTCGGAGAAACCACCGAATCGCCGCCAACGCACCTCTGGGGTCCCTGGAGGCGCCACCGAATCGACCCTGGATGCATTCTGAGAAGCCGCCTCCCTACCCCTACCCTTAGGTCGGGCATGTCCTCCTACAGGCGGATTATGGACGACAAATAAAAAATTGTCTGAGGCCCCAGGGAGCCCCTCTTTGGCCCCTCTTTGGCCCCTCTCCTGAGGACCTCTGCCCCCCCCTCATGTGCGATCGCCGCCCCCCATGACGAAACGCCCGAGGCCCCTTCCTCCCCGCCCCCTCCGGAGCCTACGAGACACGCAGCAGCCTGGCCCCCTGTCAGAACGCCCGAGTTGGGCACGGAAGACATGAGGACGATGCCCGACAGCACGTGCTGTCCTGAACCGACAGCGGCCGCTGTTGGGCAGGAGCCCTCTCTCGCCTCGCATGGACGGCGTCCGCGGCGACGCCGGCAGCGAGCCGCGTTCAACACGGAGAAAAGAATTTTGGTGCCGGTCTCCGCACCCACCCTGTCCGTGCCCACCCCGATGCTCCAGACCCTTGGCGCCCCCCATGACGCGACGCCCGAGGCTCCCTCCTCCTCGCCCCCCCCCCGGAGGCCGCGTGCGCCACGAGG